ACAATGAAGACCGACTCACGACACTAAGACTAAGGTCTTCGTTCTTGGTCTTCTTTTAGCTCTTGTTCTTGTCTTCCTTCTTCGCCTTGTATATTCAAAGTTTGACTTGATCACGGCGGTTTTGCATTATCAAAACCTGTCATAAAAACAAACACGGCTTTAGTACGAAAACGTAACATGCCCGTGTTTCAACAAGCAGCTAGAGCGGAATGTGTAAGCATAAAATGAACTGAATTTTGTGAGTACACATTTTGGTATATCTTGATGATACTCATTTGTATCCTGTGCAGTACGTATTATATTTATTTTCAGCGATTTATTAAGTGATATGAATGGTACATGAGCAATGCTAGGGGTACACCAAAAGTGTACCCCATTTGTACACCACCCCCTTCTTCACCACCCATTTTTAATTAATTTTTATTTATTTATTTTTTATTGATTTTCTTGCCCAATTATGTGGACAAGGAGGGGGTGAGGGACAAATGGGGTACACCTTTGGTGTACCCCTAGCATTTTTCATGGTACATTGATTCAAAATGAAGACTATGTTATTTAAGACTAAGTACTATTTTATTTTAAAATGAACACTACATACAAATATGTGAAAATGAACACTATGTTATATCAGAATGAGTACTATGTTATTTTAGAATGAATACTACGTATTTCAAAACGAAAGCTTATGTTTTATACAAGAATGAATACTACTTTATATCAAAATGAGACTACCAAGTTGCACCTTACTTCTGGTACAATTAACTATATCATAAACGAACTCGAAATTTGAGATTTATTATAGAATAATTTTTTTATATATTTTCTACTTTCCAATTTAAATCTTCTCTTGTTGTTTAGGAGATTTGGTTGAAGTCATACGGAGTATTAAATTTAACTAATTTGAAATTTGTGTAAAATTAAAAATTAAAATTTATATATTTAGCTATATAAAGAATTCTAGTAAATAAGAGGTGACAAGATTATACTCCCTCTGTCCCAAAAACTCCTTCTCTTTTCTTTTTTTCTTGTCCCACAAACTACTCCTCTTTTCTCTTAAAAAATCACTTTTGTCCTTACTAAGTTTTAAATTAACTATCACATCATACCTTTTTACTAATAATCTATCTATCATATCCTATTTTTATTAATCACATCAAAGATATTTTTGGAAAGGCAACACAAAAATATCTATATCTTAAATTTCATAAAAATAAAAATAGGAACATTTTTATGAGATGAGGAAATATTAATTAACAGAGTATCAGTTGAGTAGTGAAAATGAATAAGTAAACATGATAAAAGTTTAGTTCTCTAAATAATAGGAGACGACCTAATAGAAAGAGAAAGTGTACAAATGTTTTGTAATGTTTTCTTAACTTGGGGTAAGAAATTTTGTCAGAGTAATGCTAAAGTTACAAATAAACAGTTCACAAAATTTACAAACTTGTCTTTTTAACACTTTCCTAGAAATAAGATGTACTCATATAATAAAAGATATTTTAATTTAAAATTCATAAAAGACAAGTTTATGAATTTTGCGAACTATGTGTTTGTGACTCTAACATTTTCTATTTCGTCAGGCCCTCATTTGAAAGAGAAAATTAAGAGATCTTTTTTTTTATATTTTTAACTTTTAAGTAGGACTCCGTAATAACTTTATTACAAATAATAAATACACCTTGGTTCCCATGACATTGGTTCCCAATGTCATGGGATGACCCGGGGGCGCACCGGTGCCCCGTTCGTAAAATTGACGGTTCCTACCCCCCGGAAAACCCCCCCACCCAACCCCGCCCCGAACAAACCCCCCACCCCCTTCAATTGCACCCCACAAGTCGATTTTGACTTTGGAGTCAAATTTTGACTCCAAAGTCAAAATCGACTTGTGGGATGCAATTGGAGGGGGTGGGGAGGTTTGTTCGGGGCGGGGCGGGGTGAGGGGTTTGCCGGGTGGGTTAGGGGGGTAGGAACCGTTAATTTTACGAACGGGGCACCGGAGCGCCCCCGGGTCATCTCATGACATTGGTTCTCAATATCATGGGATCCTTCCCCAAATAAATATATAGAGTTAAAAGTAAGTGCCAAGTGGTGTTGGGTTTGTCGGGCTCAATGGTTTTCGGCCATGGATTGATATACTCGTATTTCATTGACCGCATATGGGCCCGATTTGGTTTGTACTTTTTATGGTGTGTTTTTAGAGTGAGGTTTATAAAATAAAAAGATAAGATTTGTTTTAAGAGTTATTTTTCTGTGGTTGTAAAGTTTCTATATACTCATAAGTAGATCATTTTTATATAAAATGTCTAATTCTTTTATGATATTAATAAACTAAAGTTTATAAAATGAGTATATACTAGTATATCTTAAGACATGGTAAGAATTGGCCTTGTTCTTTAGAATGATATACTCATTCCCTCAATTTAAAAATTATCTTTTCACTTATTATTTAGAAAGTCAAACTTTATTCATTTTGTTGAACAACTTTTGTTTCTCATTTAATAAAATAATACAGTCATATTACATCTAGTTTTGTAGATATTTTGATGCTTCTTTTTCAAATATATAATTTTTATTTTTTAAATTTACACTTTTTCATATAAAATAATTTAAAAACAGACGCATAATGCAAAGATAATTTTTGAACACATGGAGTATCATCTCCTTGTTTGGATTTTTATGAGATTTAAAAAAGAAATATTTTGTGTTGACTTTCACAAATTATCATTGACGCGATCGATAAAAATAAGATGTGATATGTCAATTATTAGTAAATAATATGATGTGATAGATATGGTAATAATTATTAACAATAAAATTAGTGTTTTAACATAAAGAAAAAAGAGATTTTGAGATAAAGAAAAAAGAAAGACTTTTTAAGGATGGAGATAATATAATCCAATGCAAGTTTCAATGCGCTAATCACATATTGTGAAGGTCTCTACTCGAGAAGAGTATCATGGTAAAACTGCAATAATAGACTTAGGAGTTAGGAGGGTGGGAGGGAGTATTTTAAATTTGAGTAACACTGTGGATACACGAAGTTGACCGATCTTTCACCACACATTTTTTATAGGATTAAACTATATCATCCCATGACATTGGGTTTCAATGTCATGGGAACCCCACCCAAACTATATATATCTCAAGATTTGTACTCTAATTTTTACCGTGCAGATTTACACTTTTATTTTGTATTAGTGTAATGTTAAAGTAATAGTTCACAAAATGTTAGTGCAAACTTTTATTAATACAATAACATTTTGTGTTGAACAATAAAAATGATAGGATAGTCTTTTTTTATATTTTCAAACAAGTTTTAAATTGCAATAATTGAAGATGACTGAGGTCCCGTTCCGTTCAACTTATTTTTCCTTATTCTTATTATAATCAAATCAGATCAGACCAAATAAGATCAGATCGAATCAGATCAGATCAGACCGAATCAGATCAGATCAGATCCAATAAGATCAGATCAGACCAGATCAGATCAAATCGAATCAGATCAGATCAGATCCCATCAAGAGTTATTATTATTATTATTATTATTATTATTATTCTTAAAAATGAAAAAGAAATAAACTTTAGAAACAAGTTAAATAGAAAACAGAGAAAACAATCCTTAATTATTAGACGTCGGAAAAATTATTTTTAAAATACATTAACAATGTAAACCTAATTCTACTTTTAAAATACATTTTTATTGCTACTTGTAATTTGAGTTTCTAAAGTTTTGATCTTTTATAAGGATGAGATATTTTAATAAAAATACTATCTCTTCTATATTTTAATTATGTTTTAATGTATATATATAAATAAAATATTTATTCTAATGTATATATGAAGTAATTATTAAAATATTAAATTAATATTCCAATTTCACAAAAAAGTAATCATAAAATAAAAAAATATTATTACATTATAATATGAACGATTATTCTAATATATGAATTAACTAGTTTTATTTTATTAAAAAGTAATCATAAAATAAAAAATATTAATTATAATATAATACGGAGTATGAATTATCATTACAATTTTCAAACGTTATTATAAAGTCAAATCAAATTATTGATTTGAATTTTAAATCAAATCATAATTAATCAGATCAGATCAGACCAGATTAGATTAGATCCAATCAGATTAGACCAAATCAGATCAGATCCAATCAGATCAGAAAAAATAAGTTGAATGGAACAGAGCCTGAGTCGGTGGATCAACTTCTTATTTTACTTCTTTTCTATCCAAGTCTTACAAGTTTTCTTATTTAAAAGTTACTTTTATTCCTTATCTCCAAATAATTTGAAAAAGTCAAACAAAAATATTTCTTTTCAAATTCTGTAAAAATCAAAATGAGAAAGAGATTTTTCAGTATGAAAAAAAATAACACTCTCTCCGTCTCACAAAAAAATTTTGTTTTGAGTTTTAGGTGATTTAAAAAAAAGTATATTTTGGGATTGACTTTTCAAAAATGTCTTTGGATATCATAGATAGAATTTGATGTGATTTGTAGATTAGTAGTGAAAAAATATGATGCGATAGGTAAGTTAAGAATTATTAGGTGTAAAACTGATTTTTTAATAGAAACGAAATTTTTTTTAAACGAATGAAAAAAGAAAGAAAAAAAATTTGTGGGACAAAGGGAGTATTTATTTAATACTCCCTCCGTCCTAAAACTTTCTTCTCAGTTTGACTTTTCTCCATTTTTAATTTTTGGCTTTGATTTCAAATTTTACCCTCTTTAAAAAAGATTTTTTGAATTTTTTTTTTCAATCATTCAAAATATAGAGTTAGAAGATAATTGGTGTAATTACATGAGGGTATTAATGTCATTTGTCATTTTTTTTCTAATGGGAAGGTAGTTTTAGGATGGAAAAAAAGGGGAAGTGGGAAGAAAGTTTTAGGACGGAGGGAGTAAATAATTTAAATTCATCTAATATTGCCCAAAAATGTCACATTGGACAAATATATTGAATAATGGCATTGGATATTTAAAAGAATACCTGTGTGAAGCCCTTGACTCCATCCCTCCCAATCTTAACCTCATTATTGGGATCATCTGCAACTTGGAGCAAAACATCCACCATGTCCATAGCCACAAATTTGTCCCCCTCGGCCACCATTCGATCAATATGGTCCTCAAGAACATGCTCTAGAAACATGTCAAACTTCTGGCCCAAAGCCTTCATCCTCTTGACATTCCCTTGCACGTCCATGAAAGCGATCCACGGGATTGAGTCCCCGATATCGAGCACCCCGTTGAGCACGAACCACTCGTCTATCATTTTCTTGAATTCGCCGGGGCTCACAATGTCATTACTCTGCTGGAGGTAATTCTTCCCCAGCACCATCCGGCTGATGATGTTCAAGCTGAGGGTGGACAGATAGTCCTTGGGGATTATTGGCTGCCCCGGCGATGAGCACGACCTCTCAGCTCGTAGAGATCGTAGAGTATGGATTTCAACTCCTCCGATCGGATGTGCTCGTAAGAGTCCAGACGCTTCGTGCTGAAGAGCTCCACGGCAAACATCCGCCGTGCTTGCCGCCAGTACGGGCCGTACTGCGACCAGGTCATGTCGGAGTAGTTGTATGCAGTGTACTTTCCTGCCGCAGTTTTAGGCCTGAAATATTTTTAACCATGCACATGGATTATACGTTCGATTCGGTAAGAATATAAAAAATCATTCATATACCACAACTACAAGGTTAAACTTTAAATAATTTACTTAAATAAAACTAAAACATAATGATTTTCTTAATATAGAATCATATGTTTTTATATTCCAATGTAGGATCATTGGTCATTATCTTTTAGTCATTATTCAACTAAATGTCCAGTATCACTTGGACATTATTCTTCCCACTAGACATTATTAAGTCATATTCAGGAATAAAAAAGTTTAAGTTCTACATTAGAAAATGACTTATGTTTTAATCTTATTCAGTGCAAATTTCACTTAAACTTTTGCCTCAATTAGTTCCTTGACTAGGTATAAGAGCATAGCTAACTAAGATGTCACGGGTTTAAAATGCAGAGTCACCCAATTCTATAAAAAATTACTATCTCCGTCCCGCTATATTTATCCACTTTTGACTTTTGGAACTGTTCATCTAAGCACTTTGACTCATCAAATTCTCTCAATGTGTAAGCCTAAATATAGTCATGTATGATCTTGTTTGATTTATCTTAACATATAAATTATTAATATATAATTTCTATAATTTTTTAATATACAAATTACAAGATAAAATAGATTAAAGAAGTGTATTGGATAGTGTGTAAAAATGAAAGTGGACAAAAGATAAAATAGATTAAAGAAGTGTATTGGATAGTGTGTAAAAATGAAAGTGGACAAATACTCTGGGACGGAGGGAGTAATATTTTTTTGTGCAAGACTTGAAAAAACTACATCTACATATCAGAGGGCCTGTTCGAATATAAAAAATCATTGATGGACAAAAACTTGAAGTATTTATCAAAATGCCCTGTAAATGTTTCGTATTTGGTGGACTACCCTGTAAAGGTGAATTGACGGAAATGTCCAGGCGTGTATGACCGACGCGCTACTTTGAAAATTATAAGTTATTCCATTTAACGAAGCGTAAACGGCGTTTCAACTTCAAATTTAAATAAAAAATCCGAGAATGGGCGAAACGACGTCGGAAGAGACTATACAAAAACGCTCCATAAACATCTTCCTTCATCGTGCGACAATTGAGTTTTCGATCTGTGTGTGCTCTATCCCCCCTCTTCGACACCTGCAAAACTTGATCGAAACCCTACCCATCCAAAGTCACCGGTCTCGGAAAACCTTGAATTTCTACAATGAGGACGAAGAATGCTTCTGTGTCTTCCTCCATGAATGGAAACGATGAGTATCATGCGGAAGAGAGGATGAAAGAGCACAACGGTAGCCCAAAGCCCACACAAGGAACATTCGAGGTCAGAAACTTGATTTTAAATGAATTATTCTCTCTCCAAATAACCAATGGACAATGGTTTATGAATTTAAAGTCCGATCGACTTCATTGATCGACTAAAATAAGTGTCGACCTCATGGTCGCACTAATTGCATATCTTTCCATATGAAATTCGTTGACATTATATGCCGTTATATAGGTTCCGGCGATAAAGACGAAGGTAAATTCAAAGGACTTTCCACATATGAAGCTGACTGTGAAGTCTTCAGTGCAAGACTTCCAAAAATTGATGAAAGAAAAGTTGTG